TCATTTGTGGTTGGACATTTTGGCTGTTTCCATGTTCTTGCAATGGTGAATAATGTTGCTGTGAACATTGGTGTACCAATCTTAGTTTGTGCACCAGTTATCATATTCTCAGTATATATTCTACCTAGTGGAATGGCTGGGTCATATGGAATTTCTATGTTCAGCTTTTTGAGGAAGTGCAAACTGCCTTCCAGAATGGTTGTACAATTTTACAATCCCTCCAATAATGTATAAGAGTTCCTTTCTCACCACATCCTCTCCAACATCTATTACTTCCTGCCCTGTTAAACTTTGCCACTCTTACTGGAGTGAGATGGTACTTCATTGTGGTTTTGATTTGCATCTCTCTTATTGCCAGTGATTTGGAGCATTTCTTCATGTCTGTTGTTGTCATGTGCCATCAAGTCACTTGCAACTCATAACAACACTAAGTGCAATATTGCTCTGAAATCTGCTCTATCCCGTACCAACCTTATTGTCTCTGACACACCTACCCTCATCACCCCAGTCAATGAACCAATCTATGTCATCGAAGGTCTTCATTTCTTGCACTGTTCCTTCACCCTCTTGAGCATGATATTCCTCTCCAAGGACTGACCCCTCCTTGAAACATGCCCAAAGTATGTCAGACAAAGCCCCAGATTTAATTTATTTGAGTTCTTTCAGTACATGGATATGAATTATATTTATCTCATCTTGCCTGGTAATATATTTTTTTTCTTTAACATCCTTCTCATCAATTAATTATACCACTCCTGTTCTTTTTTAATTGCCATTTGTTTGGCATGTTTTTTCTACTACTTAATTTTCAGTCTTTTTTTTTCTATCTTTGTGTCAACGAAAGAAAAATCCTGTAGACCATAAATTAAAATGGGTCATGTTTTCTTACCATTGAGTTGTTTCTATACACTTCTCTTAACTGGAATAACACACTTTTAAATAACTCCATTTTTATATTAGCTGAGACTTTCACAGGACAGTGTTGAGGTTTCAATGCATTTTAGCATCAAGAATATTTTTACCAGTTTGCCCAAGTTTTCAACAACTCATCTTAACCACAAGTCAATTTCATCATTTTAGGTAGTTGTGTTACCTAAGCAGAAGGGTTTATTTTACTCTTCTGACATGTTTATCAACTAGAACAATCTATGCTTTCTGAGTCACAAGTTCCTTTTTTTTTATGAGCTCAAGCTATGATTAAGTTCAGCAAATAGATGTTGGACAAAGTTAAATAAGAGAAACCTTCTTTAGGTAACACAGCTTTCATTGTTTGTAAGTGCAACAATTTTTATTCAATTCTTATTATGTTTCAAATATTATTATAGGTCCTAGAAATAAAGCACCAAACAGAATGAAGTTCTTATTCTCCAGGTGTTTGCATATTCTAGTAGGGAAGATTAAAAAAAAAAGAACAAACCCCAAAAAACACCCAAACATATGATAAATGACCTACCATCAGAAAGTGGTAAGCGTCATAAGAAGGGAATAGTATTTTGTATATAAGTATATACATATAGAATAATAATAACAATCTTACCTTTTTAGTAGAAATTGACTATAAAGTGAAGGGATGAGTTAGATACATAAGGAAGAACATTTTCAGAAAAAGGGAATAAGAACAAAGAAGCTCTGAAATAGCAATATTCTTGCAAAATTTAAAGAATTATAAGCAAAAAGTGTGTTAGTAGTGAGGTAAACTAGAGATAAGTATCAGGTTCTTACTGATTCAGGATCTATGTAACCATGACAACAATATCAGATGTTATTCTATGAATGACAAAAAGTCTTGGAAGTTTAGAACTGGGAGAGAGCTCGAATTTGTCATGGTTTCAAACATTATTCTGTCCCTTATACAATGTTGCAGGCAGATAAGCTAGGAGACAGAAATGCCCAGGCCTAAGATTATGGTGGAAGAAATTAAGTAGAAGAGAAGTGCTTGAATGTTATTCACATTTTAAATGTAGAGTCAATAGAGTTGATTATTAGATCAAGTATAGACTTTGAGAGAAAGAAACAGTCAAGGATGATTCTGACAACCTTGAGAAATTGGTAAATTGTAAATTATTTGTAGAAGGATCTACAGAATCAAGAGTTTGTTTGCTAAAATTGAGACTGCCTTTATACCTCTAAGTACCACAATATCACTATATTTTTAAATTCTTAGGGAAGAACTGTTTGGAGCAGAGCACAGATCAGATATTTACAATGATGTGCTGTGCAGGCATATATTATTTACAGAATAAACAGTACAGGTATGAATATGACTGCACATCATTGTTGTTATTATTTGCTGCTGAGTCACTTACAAGCTTTGAACCCTGCCCTGTTCTGAGCCAGTCTCACTGATTCCGATACACCTAACCCTACTGCCCCAGTTATTGTATTGATCCATCTCATTCAGCGTCTTCCTCTTTTGCATTGTCTGTCCCTCCACCCTTCTGATCATGATGTCCTTCTCCAAGGACTGGTTCTTCCTGGCCACATGCCCAAACTATGTGAGAAAGAGCTTCAAAATCTTAGCCTTCAGGGAGAAATTTGTTTTCACCCTCTCCAAGACAGGTCTACTTGTTTTCTTGGTGGTCCATGGTATGTTCAAGACTCTTCTCCAGCACCACAACTCGAAGGCATTGATTCTTCTTCTATCATCCGAAATCATTATTAACCTAAGTTTTCTTAAGTTAGGTTCCAGTCTACAGTTAGATCACATCTAAACACATCTTGAGTCACATCATGGGAGGAAAATACTTATTTTCCTTACTTTAAGAATTGAATGCTAACCAGATAGCTTTGTCTATATGTCAAATAACCTGTACAAAGAATAAGTAGGGAAAGGGGACACTAAAAGGGAATTGTTGTTATTGTTGTTAGGTGCCATCGACTCAAGCACAACTCATAGCAACGCTATGAAGAAAAGATCTGAACCTTGTTCTATCCTGTGTCATAAAGGGAATAATAATATGTAAAAATGTTAGTAAATATGCAAAGTCTCATATAGGCAGGGTACACTATTTATTGTCCCTGTTCAGACGATTGTACATTTACCAGTCCCAGAGAAAAATTATTCCTTCTTTCCCCCACAAAGCTAATGTTTGGAATGTCTACAGAGAGTAATCATCTCCCTCTAAAGCACATATTTTTTATGTCCGTTGTTGTTGTTATTGTCATGTACTGTGAAGTCAGAATCAACCCATAGCTGATCCTCCAGTGGATTTTCAGAGGACATTAATTACACAGGAGGAGATTGAGAAGCTGGTGGATTTGAACCTTGTACCTTTATGTTGGCAGTGCAAGTCTTTCAATAAGAGCCAGGGAGACAGTGAAGAATATCAAGCAGTTTTGATCTGTGAAAGCAATTGGGAGTAGATCAAAGCTATATCTATAGAAATTTAACTCTGTAAGTATACCAGAAATATTTTAAATCATGTTACTGGATGAAACATTGGATGAATGGGGATAAGGAAGAGAAGACGTTTGAGAGCTAAGCCCTAGGGCACCCCACTGTTTGGAGAAAAAGAAGTATGTAGCCAAAGAGATTATCCAGAGCTAGCTAATTGAATAGGAGGAGAATCAGGAAAGCCTAGTATCCCAAAGACAAAATGAAGACAATTTTAGAAGGAAGGAATGATTAATTCTGTCAAATGCTACTGAGAAAGTAAGTAAAGGGAGGAGACTTTATGGAGTATACAGTGGCATCAACAAGGGTGTTTCCAGTGAATAGTAGGGGAGAACAGGTGTTGCATCCACTGCCTAAACAACATGCCTCCCGAAACTCTTTGAACTTTGATAAATGCCCATAGTTGCAGAGGGGCTTCAGGCCTTTTGTTCCTATTAGTTGTGCTTGACTAGAAGGCAATCAACAACAACATAAAGGAAGAGGAGTCAAGAAAGAGAAACAATAAGTATAAACTCACATTAAAGGACTTTATTATAAAAGAAAACAGAGAAATAGGGAAGTAGATAAATTTGAACCTAGGATCAAGGAAAAGATTTTTACAATTAGCTTTATTGTGTCTTGACAAAAACAGCTCAGTAGAAAACTGATGATGTAAGAGGCTGGACAATTGTAGGACAAAGCTTTGAAGTAGGTGAGTGTTTTGTGAAGGAAGAGGTTTTGGCAGCATAAACTATCCATCTAGGTTGGTGAGCTGATTTGGTGGTGGTAATACATAGAAGTTCTCATTTTCTTCTTTTTTTTTCTTTTCATTAAATAAGAAGCAAAGACATCAGTTGAGAGAAGAGAGAGAGAAGCAAGTTGTGGTTTGATGAGAGGAGGTGTTAAATCATCAGCGTTAGGATCCTTTACAGTCATTTAAAAGGGTTTTGTTTTTTTTTCTTGTTTCTGTTTTGTTTTAGTTTTTGGTGGCTCAGCTTTTTTAGGAAAAAGAACGAAAATAGTTTCTCCTCCTCAAAACTGTCTTAAGGTTTTGTAGGGAACAAAGACTCCACACTTTGAACACTAGGCTCCCCACAATCCTGATCTCACATTCTTCACACTTTTTTTTCTCCCCCACCCTCAGAAGTAATGCTGGTCCCTGGTTCCCTAGATTCACACATTCAGAATTACATCCGGTTGCTCTTCATCTTCCATCCTCTATACTTGATGGCAATGAGAGATCTGGTGGAGGAATTAGCAGATTTGGATTCTAGTTTTGACTCTGCCTTCCACTAGTTGTGTGACTTTAGGGAGGAAAAATAAATTTCTTTGGACTTCAGGTGTCTTAATTGTAGGTAAAACTTGATACATTTCCTTCCCCTGATAGAACACTCCGTGTTCCAGTTAGCTACATTAGCTGTGTTCTAGCTAGTTCTACCTTAAGTACATAGAATTTTCCATTGAGCTTTAAAAAATATTGTCAATGTGGTGGAGATCATCATGACAGTTTGCTTAGGCCAATAACGACCTGACAAGATCCTTAAGGATCCTTAAGGAAGAGCCAAGAGGAGGAGCCTTCCAGTCTGCCGTTCCTAATCTAGAGATGCTCTTTCTCTCGAAGGCCTCTATGGTAACAGACTTTCTCCTTCTTTCTCTAGGTGAACACTCAGAGAACTGTCCCAAGACTATGCAGAGTTTGGGAAGAAACGTGATGCTGCCCTTGGTATATGAAGGAATAAATAAGACGATGAACAAGAATATCCGCATTGTTGTTACAAAGCAAACATCATTTAGCAGTGTCCACAAGATGAAAATTGTGTCTCTTGATCCGTCTGAAGGGAGTTCTCCCCCCATCTTAGAACACCGCTATAAATTTCACCTGGAAAACATGAGCTTGGAGATCCTAGACAGCAAGAAGGAGGATGAAGGCTGGTACTCATTGTCTCTGGAACAAAACACTTCAGTCCATCAGTTTTGCCTGCAGCTGATACTTTATGGTAACGATGGTTTACTCAGTCCCTGCTGAATGGCTAAGGTGGTTCCTTATCCAAAAGTTTAGCCTTACAACTCCTCATGGGTTCAAGTACCTCAGAGAAGGTGAAAATGGCACAAGATAGGACAGGATTCAAATTTTTTATAGGTTATTGTTATTGTTAAGTGCCATTGAGTCGTAAAGGACTCATAGCGACCCTGTGAACAAAAGACGTGAACACTTGTATACCTTTCATGATTTCTCCAAGTTCATAGGGTTTCTAAGCTCTTTTGGAAGTGGATGTCACTTGTGCTTCCAAACTTGTTTTAATCAGGGAGCTCCACCAAACACTGTCCACCATGGGTAACCATTATTGCTTTTGACACATCAGTGTCACAGTGTTCAGCATCACAGCAATCATTACAGCAAATGGACAGACCAGTGCTGTACCACTTAAATGCTTGACCAAAACCAATTAAAATCAGTCCTGAGGGCCACAGATTAAAATCACCCACCTTCAGCTTGGTAGCATCACTTTCTATCCACTAGGCCAACTGAGCTCTCTTTATGCTGGTGTTGTTAGCGTCCCTATTAATCGTACTCAATTTGAGGGCACTTAACAGCTAACAACAGAAGCAATGGGTATTTAGAATTGGAAGCAGTTTAAGATAACAGGTAGTTCATATTTACATGTAGCACATGTAAACTAGGGTACATGGAAAAGATTGTAGAGGTGTACAGTTTTTCTGTTTGCTTTGTTTTGTTATTTACACATTGGTGGTGATTATTACCACAAGTCACCTTTGTCACCACTTCTAGAAAGAAAGGAATCAGCTGCCAGTGGACTGCAGAGTTTAGGGACTGTGGAAGTCTTTGTTTGCAAATAAGATTTTCAAAAATAGTAATAAAAGCTTTCATTTATAATTTTTTAAAGGTTTTAATATTGCTAATCAAGCCAAGGGAGCTCTGGAGGCATAGTCTGTAGGGATTTGTGCAGCTAGCCCCAAAGCCAGCCTCTCTGGAGGTTTGAATCCACTAGGGGCTTCACAGGAGGGAAACAGGCAGTCTACTCCTTTGCCCTCGATTTCAGAAACCCAATGGAGGGTCAACTATAAGTTGATTCTGATTCAATGATGATGATGAGAGAAAGTCTGACCTCATTCATTGTTGAGGACACTGGAATACCAGGAGAAGTGGTCTGCTTGTACTTACTCATGCATATGGTTGTAGTACTAAGAACAAACAAAACTCACTGCCATTGAGGGTTTCTGAGTCATAGACACCTTCCATTTTGGTTAGCAGTGCAACATACTTTGGGCTACAGTACCAGAGCTCCTTCGTTGTACGAGAGCCCTGAGAAAATGAGAGCTAAAATTCAACCCAAGCTCTGCTTGCCTCCCTGGCTCAAGAACACATCTACCAGGTAGAAGCGACATTTTCTCATTTGAACAGAAGCTCTGAAAGGCTCTAGTTATAAAATTCCTCAGTTGCACAAATTAAGCTATACTCCACTGTCAGTTCTTTTTTTCTAACTCCTGCTGCCCCCCTTTTCTTGAATGCACCTAGAGTTTATGTCTTATTTACTCAGAAACTCACCTGAATTCCAAGGAATCTTAATAGACATACGGGGCTTTCCTGCTTCCTTAAAGTGACTTCCTTCTCTCTATGAGTGGAACAGGGAGCCGCATCCTTCACTAGACCTTTGAAATTCTGAGGTATCTAGAGAAGAAATTGTAATAACCTACATTTAGCCTCTGTCCCCACCACTCTCTTTTCATTAGACTGTACAAAGAATTTCCTCCTGCCTCCATCAGACAGTGAGGAGTCCTCATCACTCAAATAGTAACTATGAGGCAAGGCTCTCATGTCCATGGGAGCCACACAACCTACATTTTTCAGAATAACCCTTATGACATATATTCTGTACTTTCATTCATGAATGTTCACTATCTTTGTGACGTCTCATGATAAAATTCTTGCTTTGGAAAATATAGCCTCTGAAAAAAGCCTCTTCTAAAAATCAAATAAGAAGTATGGATTTTTAAGTCAGAAATACGTTCAGATTCCAGCTTGAACACTTTAAACCCATGCAAGGATGCATAGAACATTCCACTTCTCTGAGATTCATTTTCCTCATCTATGAAATGGGCATAATTACAACTACCTCAGAAGATAATTGAGAAGATATGCATGGAAAAAATTCCAACAGTAGAAAGTGCTGGTGTTATAGTAAATGCTAAGGAGATTGATAAGTTCTGTGACTATGGTTATTCAGTTATTCCTACCCTGGATATAACATATGTCTTGTTACGCATGTGCACGTAAGAAACATATAACAAAATTCTACCACTTAAAATTCATTATTTTGGTCATCTACATCATCTAGATATTTTAGTTATAGGATGCTAATATCTTTGCTGTTGTGATGTGCTCTTGAGTTAGAACTGACCCATAGCTGATCCTCCTCTGGGTTTTCAGAGGCAGTAAATCACATGGGAGAAGATTAGTGATAACTCAAATCTATGGGGGATTTTTTTTAATGCCAAACATGACTGATAGAATACAGGAGCGCAATCTAGACCAAGGCACATGAGAAAGAGTTCTGGTTTGGTTATAAATGGTATAATGAAAAAATAAAATCTCCTTCTCCATTTTATCCTGAGGTAGTCCTAGAAAAAGTGCAGGGGAGAGAGAAAGATGGTGCAGAGTAACAAGTTCCACTGGAGATAAATCACACTGAAGCCCTTAGTGAAAGAAAAATGTCATTAGGACATCTTTCTTTTCTAGCATAATGATCAACTCAGAACCTTAAGGGTTTCTTGTCAGTGATGGCTCCCTTCCTCCCCTTAATGACAGAGGAGGTCTCCACTCCAGAAATTAAGGTGTTAAACAGGACGCAGGAGAGCGGGAACTGCAGCTTGACACTGGAATGTACGGTGGAGAAGGGGGACCATGTAATTTACAGCTGGAGTGAGAAGATGAACGTCCTCCCAGTGAGCCTGGTCAACAGCTCCCACCTTCTGTACCTCACTCTTGACCCTCAGCATGCCAACAGTGTGTACATCTGCACTGTGAGTAACCCCATCAGCAACCGCTCCCAGACCTTCAGCCCATGGCGGGATTGCCAAGCTCCTACAAGTGAGTGTCTTGAGGGTGCTTAGTGTGCCACGTGAGGGAGGGAGGGAGGGAGGAAGGGAAGGAGGGAGGGAGGGAAGGAGGGAGGGAGGAGGGCTAAGTCTCCTTTGGGATCATTTGCTCCACTTCTAAAGTAATGTCCTTCACTTTTGTAGCAACACTTCACATTCTCTTTACTGCCTACAAAAAACTTTCATGTGTGTTCAGTGAGCTCAATCTCCTCATGATGACAACAACAACAAAAATATTTGCAAGCATGTAGTGAAGTCGATCGTAACTCACAGTAACCCATGTGATAGTAGAAGTGTGTTCCATGGGGTTTTATAGAAGTATATGGCCTTCCAAAGCTCCTCTGACTGCACTCAAACCATCAACTTTTTGGTGTGTTACCCTGGAGCTCTTTAAATAATGGCCATGATGTCATTATTATGTCACTTTGTGGTTGAAGAAAGCAAAAGGAAGTGTTAGAGCCAGATCCAGAGTCCAGATCTCTAAGCAGTGAGATCTCCAAACTCAACAGGAGAGGAGGGGGTGCAGGTGGCAGGCCGTGACCCTCACGTCTACATTCTACTGGTGGTGGGACGGTTCTGTCCATTAATCAGTATTCACTGATCTTATACACTATAAAAAACCTGGGTTTAGGCAGGATATATTATCTCTACTATGAAATAATATAGTGTAAAGATAAGGCAAGATATAATTGATCAAAAGTGGAAAACAAAAGATAACAAAGAAACATACTATGAACTATGAATGTGTAGCAACTTAGAGGACCAGAGGAGTCAAAAAGATGAAACTAAGATTTAGCTTCTGAAGTTTGCAAGATTATAACAATAAAATCCTATTACTCTTTATTATTGATTAATCACTCTCAAATACCATATCTTTTTTGATCCTCACAATAACCTTGCTGTGGTTGTTATGTGCCGTCGAGTTGCTTGTGACTCACAGCAATCCCATGTACAAGAGCCCTAAACCCTGCTCTATCCTGTGCCAACCTCACTGTCTCTGAAAAACCTTGCTAGATAGGTGTTACAATTACCTTCATTTTTGTAGATGAGTACATAAAAATTCATTGTATTTAACTACCGGCTTCAAGTTTTGTCAATGTGTAAATAGTGAAGTCAGTGTCTAAACCTAGGTTGTAACTATTCCTTCACTAGAAAGAACACTGTTCTACTAACAAAAGGAAGAGAAGACTAATTAATGAGAAGGTTAATTAAGCCCATCTAATCATTTGAGTTTGGAAATAGGATAAATCAATGATCTTGTGCATCAATAGATCTGTGTCTCTGTCTCAGACAGTTTCCAGGACAGATGAACCCAGGGACTAGTCTTCAAGATGTTACTTGGGATCTCTGTGCATCCACTGAAGGATGTCATTTCAAGGATACCCTTGCTTACGGTAGACTTCGTGTCTGGATGGAGGGCTTTCCCTGATGAATAAGAATTAGATGATAGAGAATCCAGCCAAGTAGTATCTCTAGTGTAGCACCATCTCCAGTCATAAAAGGTTCCAAGATATTCCCAGATGAATTTCTGACAAAGTCTAATGTGTCCTCTAGTCTGCCACTGAGAGTTCTTTGATGAGCTTAACCGACTTTGTGCCTCTCCAAGGCACGTCATGGCAGATGTCAACTCTCTGTGTACCTGCCAGATGTATCTGGCTACTTATCCACTTTGAATACAAACCACTTTCAAAGGCTGTCCTCCAGCCCAGATCTCTCTCCCTGTCCCAGGTCACTCAGAGCAAATTGACAGAACCAAGAAAGTAATGTCACATAGCAGAAACTTTCTAGAATGTGATCCTAGAAATTTTAAGATCTATTGCTCCCATGTATTTACAAGGATAAATTACTTAGATATGTTTCATCTACAAAAGCCAACTGCAAATAAAAGAAGTTATGGGTCATCTTATATAACCCTCATAGCTATCCTATAATACTGATAGTGTGCGTTCACAGATGTGAAAACAAAGATACCAAAAAAAAAAGTAAAGTCACATAGGGTCTCTATGAGTTGCCTGCCACTCGATGGCACTTAACAACAACAACAAGGTCACATGCAGGACAAGTGAGAGAGCTGACTGGTCCTGGCATCTTCACAAGTATTAGTGGAAGATAAAATACGTTTTTAAATACCTTTACATCATAATAGAAACACGAGATTTTTATCCCTTGTGGCTGGGGAGGGCATTGTTGATGTTCAGTATCATTCAGTCAGAACAGAATCATAGCTGACCCTCCTGAAGCTTTCCAGAGTCCATAAATAGGAGGAGATTGCTCTTCTTTCTCCCCCAAAGCATCTGTTGGATTTGAACCACACACCTTTGGATTAGCAGTGTAATTCTTTACCACTAAGTCACCAGAGCTTCTTAGGTAGGGCATGCTGTTGTTGTTAGTTGTCATTGAATCACCTGTTAGTGGCCCAATGCACAATAGCTGTAAACTCTTTCCTATCCTGAGTCAGTCTTACTGTCTCTAACACACCTACCCCCATTATCTCAGTTACTGGGTCAATCCATCTCATCCAGGGTCTTCCTCTCTTTTGCTGTCCCCCTACCCATCTAAGCATGATGTCATGATGTCCTTCCTCAAGGACTAGTCCCTCTTGGCAACATGCCCTTGGTATGTAAGGCAGAGCTTCAAAATACTTGGCTCTAAGGAGCAACTGGATTTCACCCTCTCCAGGACAAACTTGTTTGTTCTCTTGGCAGTCTGTAGAAAGTTCAACGCTCTTGTACGTAGAGCATAGGGACACCTTAATCTAAGGATATCTAAAGAAGATGACTCAAACGTTCTTAACCACTAGGGCTACTTTTAATATCAAGTAAACACTAGTATCAAATAACATTTACTGAGGATGAAGTGGGTTCTTGTTAAGTGTGGAGGGGAGATTTCATCTCAGCCATTAAAAGACAACTAGACATGGGCTAGACATTTCACTCTCTTGAATATCATATCAGATCACATCAGTCATAAAATGAAAAGAGTAGATTAATGGACTTCTTCCCAGAAAAAAATATTCTGTATCTCCATTTATATGTGCATAGGTAAGAACAACTGATAAAGGATGGCCAAGGGCAAAACTCATTCCTCCCTTCAAAGAAGGGGTAGGATCTCATTGTATCAGAACTAGATCACACTTCTGGTTGACAGCAAGCTCTTCCCAGAACATGAGATTGCCTAGATACTGAAGACAGATTATATTTAGCACCTTGGTTTTTCTATTTGGAAATGAATGCTACTACTTTTTACTAAAATGTCCATCTTGAAGTATAACATTGTGAGTGATAGGATTATATCCATACGCTTACAAGGAAGCCCAGTGAATACCACTATCATTCAGATATATGCACCAACAACCAGAGCCAAAGAAGAAGAAATAGATGATTTCTACCAACT